ACCACTAACAGTGACATGGTGGGTGTAGAGGATGGTAAAAACACCACTAATAGTGACATGGTGGGTGTAGAGGATGGTAAAAACACCACTATTAGTGACATGGTGGGTGTAGAGGATGGTAAAAACACCACTAACAGTGACATGGTGGGTGTAGAGGATGGTAAAAACACCACTAATAGTGACATGGTGGGTGTAGAGGATGGTAAAAACACCACTAATAGTGACATGGTGGGTGTAGAGGATGGTAAAAACACCACTAATAGTGACATGGTGGGTGTAGAGGATGGTAAAAACACCACTAATAGTGACATGGTGGGTGTAGAGGATGGTAAAAACACCACTAATAGTGACATGGTGGGTGTAGAGGACGGTAAAAACACCACTAATAGTGACATGGTGGGTGTAGAGGATGGTAAAAACACCACTAATAGTGACATGGCGGGTGTAGAGGATGGTAAAAACACCACTAATAGTGACATGGTGGGTGTAGAGGATGGTAAAAACACCACTAATAGTGACATGGCGGGTGTAGAGGATGGTAAAAACACCACTAACAGTGACATGGTGGGTGTAGAGGATGGTAAAAACACCACTAATAGTGACATGGTGGGTGTAGAGGATGGTAAAAACACCACTAATAGTGACATGGTGGGTGTAGAGGATGGTAAAAACACCACTAACAGTGACATGGTGGGTGTAGAGGATGGTAAAAACACCACTAATAGTGACATGGTGGGTGTAGAGGATGGTAAAAACACCACTAACAGTGACATGGTGGGTGTAGAGGATGGTAAAAACACCACTAATAGTGACATGGTGGGTGTAGAGGACGGTAAAAACACCACTAATAGTGACATGATGGGTGTAGAGGATGGTAAAAACACCACTAATAGTGACATGGTGGGTGTAGAGGATGGTAAAAACACCACTAACAGTGACATGGTGGGTGTAGAGGATGGTAAAAACACAACTAATAGTGACATGGTGGGTGTAGAGGATGGTAAAAACACCACTAATAGTGACATGGTGGGTATAGAGGATGGTAAAAACACCACTAATAGTGACATGGTGGGTGTAGAGGATGGTAAAAACACCACTAATAGTGACATGGTGGGTGTAGAGGATGGTAAAAACACCACTAATAGTGACATGGTGGGTGTAGAGGATGGTAAAAACACCACTAATAGTGACATGGTGGGTGAAGAGGACGGTAAAAACACCACTAATAGTTACATGGTGGGTGTAGAGGATGGTAAAAACACCACTAACAGTGACATGGTGGGTGTAGAGGATGGTAAAAACACCACTAATAGTTACATGGTGGGTGTAGAGGATGGTAAAAACACCACTAATAGTGACATGGTGGGTGTAGAGGATGGTAAAAACACCACTAATAGTGACATGTTGGGTGTAGAGGATGGTAAAAACACCACTAATAGTGACATGGTGGGTGTAGAGGATGGTAAAAACACCACTAACAGTGACATGTTGGGTGTAGAGGATGGTAAAAACACCACTAATAGTGAAATGGTTGGTGTAGAGGACGGTAAAAACACCACTAATAGTGACATGGTGGGTGTAGAGGACGGTAAAAACACAACTAATAGTGACATGGTTGGTGTAGAGGACGGTAAAAACACCACTAATAGTGACATGGTGGGTGTAGAGGACGGTAAAAACACCACTATTAGTGACATGGTGGGTGTAGAGGATGGTAAAAACACCACTAATAGTGACATGGTGGGTGTAGAGGATGGTAAAAACACCACTAACAGTGACATGGTGGGTGTAGAGGACGGTAAAAACACCACTAATAGTGACATGGTGGGTGTAGAGGACGGTAAAAACACCACTAATAGTGACATGGTGGGTGTAGAGGATGGTAAAAACACCACTAACAGTGACATGGTGGGTGTAGAGGATGGTAAAAACACCACTAACAGTGACATGGTGGGTGTAGAGGATGGTAAAAACACCACTAACAGTGACATGGTGGGTGTAGAGGATGGTAAAAACACCACTAATAGTGACATGGTGGGTGTAGAGGATGGTAAAAACACCACTAACAGTGACATGGTGGGTGTAGAGGATGGTAAAAACACCACTAATAGTGACATGGTGGGTGTAGAGGACGGTAAAAACACCACTAATAGTGACATGGTGGGTGTAGAGGATGGTAAAAACACCACTAACAGTGACATGGTGGGTGTAGAAGATGGTAAAAACACCACTAACAGTGACATGTTGGGTGTAGAGGATGGTAAAAACACCACTAACAGTGACATGGTGTGTGTAGAGGATGGTAAAAACACCACTAATAGTGACATGGTGGGTGTAGAGGATGGTAAAAACACCACTAATAGTGACATGGTGGGTGTAGAGGATGGTAAAAACACCACTAACAGTGACATGGTGGGTGTAGAGGATGGTAAAAACACCACTAATAGTGACATGGTGGGTGTAGAGGATGGTAAAAACACCACTATTAGTGACATGGTGGGTGTAGAGGATGGTAAAAACACCACTAACAGTGACATGGTGGGTGTAGAGGATGGTAAAAACACCACTAATAGTGACATGGTGGGTGTAGAGGATGGTAAAAACACCACTAATAGTGACATGGTGGGTGTAGAGGATGGTAAAAACACCACTAATAGTGACATGGTGGGTGTAGAGGATGGTAAAAACACCACTAATAGTGACATGGTGGGTGTAGAGGATGGTAAAAACACCACTAATAGTGACATGGTGGGTGTAGAGGACGGTAAAAACACCACTAATAGTGACATGGTGGGTGTAGAGGATGGTAAAAACACCACTAATAGTGACATGGTGGGTGTAGAGGATGGTAAAAACACCACTAATAGTGACATGGTGGGTGTAGAGGATGGTAAAAACACCACTAATAGTGACATGGCGGGTGTAGAGGATGGTAAAAACACCACTAACAGTGACATGGTGGGTGTAGAGGATGGTAAAAACACCACTAATAGTGACATGGTGGGTGTAGAGGATGGTAAAAACACCACTAATAGTGACATGGTGGGTGTAGAGGATGGTAAAAACACCACTAACAGTGACATGGTGGGTGTAGAGGATGGTAAAAACACCACTAATAGTGACATGGTGGGTGTAGAGGATGGTAAAAACACCACTAACAGTGACATGGTGGGTGTAGAGGATGGTAAAAACACCACTAATAGTGACATGGTGGGTGTAGAGGACGGTAAAAACACCACTAATAGTGACATGGTGGGTGTAGAGGATGGTAAAAACACCACTAACAGTGACATGGTGGGTGTAGAAGATGGTAAAAACACCACTAACAGTGACATGTTGGGTGTAGAGGATGGTAAAAACACCACTAACAGTGACATGGTGTGTGTAGAGGATGGTAAAAACACCACTAATAGTGACATGGTGGGTGTAGAGGATGGTAAAAACACCACTAATAGTGACATGGTGGGTGTAGAGGATGGTAAAAACACCACTAACAGTGACATGGTGGGTGTAGAGGATGGTAAAAACACCACTAATAGTGACATGGTGGGTGTAGAGGATGGTAAAAACACCACTATTAGTGACATGGTGGGTGTAGAGGATGGTAAAAACACCACTAACAGTGACATGGTGGGTGTAGAGGATGGTAAAAACACCACTAATAGTGACATGGTGGGTGTAGAGGATGGTAAAAACACCACTAATAGTGACATGGTGGGTGTAGAGGATGGTAAAAACACCACTAATAGTGACATGGTGGGTGTAGAGGATGGTAAAAACACCACTAATAGTGACATGGTGGGTGTAGAGGATGGTAAAAACACCACTAATAGTGACATGGTGGGTGTAGAGGACGGTAAAAACACCACTAATAGTGACATGGTGGGTGTAGAGGATGGTAAAAACACCACTAATAGTGACATGGTGGGTGTAGAGGATGGTAAAAACACCACTAATAGTGACATGGTGGGTGTAGAGGATGGTAAAAACACCACTAATAGTGACATGGCGGGTGTAGAGGATGGTAAAAACACCACTAACAGTGACATGGTGGGTGTAGAGGATGGTAAAAACACCACTAATAGTGACATGGTGGGTGTAGAGGATGGTAAAAACACAACTAATAGTGACATGGTGGGTGTAGAGGATGGTAAAAACACCACTAATAGTGACATGGTGGGTTAGGATTAGACGTAGCGGGAGTGTAAAAGACAGGGTATCTGCAGGTGTAAGGGAGCCATATTTAAGACTTTTTAAGACCTTTTTTAAGGCCACTTTGACCAAATTTAAGCTATTTTTTAAAATTTCATTTAAGCTATAATTTCCAGCTATTGCCTGAAACCGGTGCTAACCATGTCGCAAATGTGGGATTAGCCATCCAGTTACCATTAAACTTGCACTTCTCCATGGTACAAGCTCCCACTAGCTTAACCAGCTAATGTGCTCATCTAAAAATAGCCCCCTTTCACAACCAACTGAATGTGTACGGTTCCGCTTATGCAAATATGATACACATAAAATGCTGAACACTAACTCGAAATTCATGAAAATTTTATAGAAATAAAAATATCTTGTTTATTGGGTCTTTGGTCATTTAAGACCTTTGGAAACTGTATTTAAGGATTATTTGTCATTTTTAAGGATTTTTAAGGCTTTAAATTTGGAAAAGCAAATTTAAGACTTTTTAAGGACCCGCGGATACCCTGAAAAGAGAAAAAACAGCGCAGACGCGTTAAGAAGCGTGCGTCATGATTGGTATGAACGCTCCAGCGATGGTAATAGAACAGCATTGCTACAAAGGAAAACTTTACTATTGAAATGAATACACATGTACGATTTTTATGAAGCAGCGAGCACGCTGCCACGACAGCGGAGCGAGACCACACGACATCGGGGATCACCTGTTGGTCTTTTTGGGCCGTGTTCTTTCTGTAATTTAGTTTCAGCCAAGAACCGAAGATGTTGGTGCATCCCTACTAAAAAGTGTCTGCCCTTCATACCTCTGCACAGAGCTGGAAATAAACCATCACAATGCTGATCTGGGAGCAGGACACCACCAGGATGATGAAAACCAGGAACAGGAAACCGAACAGGTAATAGAACTGATTCTCCCAGATGGCCTGTAGGGGGCGACACGTACATGTGAGCGGATCTCTGCATTTGATTGTTCAACAGTGAGCTGCTGTTCTTACACTGAAAATGAAGAAGAGTTCAATGAACATGGCGCCAAAGGGAAGGATCCCAGCCATGAGGATCCTAGGTGGAAGAAAAGGAAACCGTGGCTCAGCTCTGCAGCTCCAACATCACCTCCAACGTCCAGAGGCATGAAGAAAAGCCGCATCTTACCCCACAAACTTGTTCATGTACCAGCGCTGCTCTGGAACCTGCCGAGGGATCTGGTTGGTGCGGACCGGGTTGTCGTACGGCTGCTTACGGAAACCAAAGTAATATCCCAGGTAGACCAACGGCATGGAGATCCCGAACCACATGCACAGCAGGGCCAGCATGGTGGTGAAGGGAACCTGAACAGGACAGTGAGGTCACAGCGGCTAACCCTAGCACTAGCTAACGCAGCTGAGGTGGGAAACTCACCGCTCCAGAGGAGTGTTCACCCCAAATGAAACAGTTCAGGATGAAGCAGATTCCAAACACCACTCCAGGATACAGAGTCGCTGTCTGTGAAGGAAACAAAGAGCCTCTCAGCCTCCCCAGAACGCACCAACATCCCTTCAGCAGGGACCCCACGTCAGAGCGCTGCTAGTTCCTGAGCCTCAGCTTGGAACAACGAGCAGGAAACATCTCTGAATTCTGTTTCTATGAACAACCTTTAGGGATGAACGTCTGTGCAACACCAGTGACTCACACAGAAGGCTCCTTTCCTCCAGCGGTGACCCTTCAGCGTTCGATAGAGTCTGCCGGCAAAGAAACCTCCAAACACCCTGGAGCAGAAAACACAGACTTTCAGCCTGAAGAGACGCTGCTGCGGTTCGGAAGCATCCACGGGTTTCCTACCCCATAAACATGAAGAGGAAACACGCCGTGGTCATCAGGGCTCCTCGGCTGGACGGAGACAACATCCCCAACATGGCAACAACTAAAAACACACACACACACACACACACACACACACACACACAGGCGTGCAATTTACTGGTATTGAAAACAACCTTGTTCCCCATCTCAACTGTAGGGAGAACGTCAACAGTTACTGGTTCCTGGGACGGGAGTTTAGCTGCTAAACTTCAGCTGATCGGAGACCAGCACGAACTCGACTCAGAGGAGTTTAGTGAGGGTGCCGCTGCAGCCTGCCTTGGTGATGCTGTGGGATGTTCAGTTATTTAATACGTTCTCCTTGTTGGAGTAGAACTAGAACCTCTCTAGATAAAACCACACGTTGCTTCACAAACACATTAAATACACAGAATAATGGGAGAAAATAACACCTTTAACCGTTTTACGGTACCATTAGATGGTAAACTATGCGAGTGATGTGTTCCACTAGATGAAAGTCTAGGCCATCTTCTCACCAACTACAGGATGGCTCGGCAGGCAGGTTAAGGGAGCCAAATTTAAGACTTTTTAAAACCTTTTTTAAGGCTACTTTGACCAAATTTAAGCTACTTTTGAAATTAAATTTAAGCTATAATTTCTAGCTGTTGCCTGGAACCACGCAAAAGTGGGATTAGCCATCCAGTTACCACCAAACTTGCACTTCCTCATGGCGCAAGCTCCCGCTAGCTTAACCAGCTAATGTGCTCATCTAAAAATAGTCCCCTTTCACAACCAACTGAATGTGTACGGTTCCACTTACGGCAACATCGTACACAAAAAATGCTGAATACTAACTAGAAATTCATAAAATTTAATAGAAACAAAATGATTTTGTTTATTGGGTCTTTGGTAATTTAAGACCTTTGGAAAATGTATTTAAGGATTATTTGTAATTTTTAAGGATTTTTAAGGCCTTAAATTTTGAAAAGCAAATTTAAGACTTTTTAAGACTTTTTAAGGACCCGCGAATACCCTGACCTACAGGATGCCTCGGCAGGCTAGGGTTGGACCTACAGGATGCCTCGGCAGGCTAGGGTTGGACCTACAGGATGCCTCGGCAGGCTAGGGTTGGACCTACAGGATGCCTCGGCAGGCTAGGGTTGGACCTACAGGATGCCTCGGCAGGCTAGGGTTGGACCTACAGGATGCCTCGGCAGGCTAGGGTTGGACCTTTGTTGGAAGAAAACCGTGAATTGAACTGAAATGGTAACTTCTGCTAGAAAAACCCAACTGAACAGTTTGCTGAAACGGGTCAGCCCTGCTCTTTGCTGATGTGTTACAGAAGTATCCGATCAGGACTCGCCATCAGTAGATGCTAAAATCAAACCTACCAGGAACCCTCTGTAAGTGTTCTGGATCCATCAGCTGGTCAGAGTCTAGAATATTCTGAATGTGAGGTTTTAGTTAGTCATCACAGACAGAAACATCTGGAATGAGTCTGTCCCTTTTAGGCTGCATTACGGATTACTTTGCTCCAGATCCCAGCTTCCCCTGTTCCAGCGAAACAACGTTTATGGGGCCCGTTGCTCGTTAGTTACTTCTACAGGATTCTTCTCAGGAAACTCACAGATGACGATGAGAACCATGCAGAACAGCTGGATCCCAGAGCCCAGCAGAGAGCTGAGGACCATAGGATACTGAGGTGGTCTGAACACGTCTCCATGGACGTTCTTCCATCCCGACTCCTCCATCGTGTCCTCCTGATCACAAACAATAAAACATGAGTGGAGCGGTCCAAGAACCTTTGGGATTCAGGCGTGTCGTTTCTTACGATGTCGTCTTCTCTGTTGTAGTTGGCGATGTCCTTCCTCAAGGTCCTGATGATGATCATACTCAGGATGCCTGAGAGAGAGCGCCATTAAGCAGGTTACACGAACGTTTGTCCTCGTGAAACAAGACGGCCCACAAAAGCACAACAGCTGTTGTGTGTATGTGAGGCGTGGCTAACGACGTAACAAGCTCCTCGTTACTAACGAACCCAGAGAAACGAGCCTCAAACCCACTTGACCCCGAGCGTGGGCTCATTCAGAAAGTAGAAGTAAGGAAGGTGACGACTCCTCTGTCGTGAAACCTGACTCTACATCAGCATCCCCGTCTACTACTGGAGGCAGGAACAAATCCCGACCCTCCTCACGGAGCTTCTAGTATAGAACCAGACATACCAGACAGGAAGAAGACGACCACCACAGAGTTGACGATGGAGAACCAGTGGATCTGGACATCGCGCATAGTCAGGTACGTGTCCCAGCGAGACGCCCACTTCACGTCACTCTCCTGTAAACAAAACAGTACAGATGTTGTTTATTTGCTTTCCTGGACCACTTTAGTTCTTCTCTGGGATGACATCTGCGAGTCGTGTCCCAGCGCCGCACCGAGGAACCACCTGGAACACACTGGAACGTTTAGTGAAGCCGGAACGACTCTGAGACTTCCTACTGAAATACAGGAGATCTGGGAGAATCCGAGCCAGGTTTGAGAGAACTGACCTCCCAGTGGACCGAGTAGGTGAAGAGGATCTCGTTCTCTTTGGTTGGATCGATCTCCAGGGGCGCAGAGCTGCTGGCCTCGGGCAAGGTGCAGGTTTTCTCGGTTTCAGCAGCCTTGAGGTCTAGAAACAAAGAAATAAATAATCATTCAGCTGAATCAGGAGAAGCTGGAATCTGGAGCAAAAGATGATTCATGTCAGTAATCCAGCCCAAAAGGGACAGCTTCATTCCAGATGTTTTCATCTGTGATGACTAAAACCACACATTCAGAATATTCTAGACTCTGATCAGCTGATGGATCCAGAAGACCTGCAGAGGGTTCCTGGGTCTTTAGAGGGTCTCGGTCAGAGCTGGACTACTGACCTTTGCTCCAGATTCCTGTTTCATGTGTTCATGTGTTCAGGAAACCAGAGTAAAGTTTCTCCACAGCACCGACCTTCTACTCTCACGCTCTGAGGCACAACCTCAAAGCGGACCACTCTGTAGTTGTGAACCTTTTCCTCCTCCATCTTTTCCCTGTGAAAGTGCAGGATGAAGGACAGGTGGTTGTGAAGGTAGAACTGTGAAGAAAGAACACGAGGAAGAAAACATAAGAATGAACACCTGAACTTGTGGTTGATCCTGCTGTGCAGCTGAGAAGGAAGCTAACCAGCTGTCTTCTTCTTCTCTTCTTATCCGGCTCTCAGAGAGTACAGACGCTTTTGCTTCAGCTCCCTTATCTGCTTCTCCCAAGGCTCTGTCCTGTCTGCCTACAGAGCACTTCTCTGCATTTCTCCTGAAAATCACTACTTCTTTTTGGAAAATGGACTTAATTAACTGGTCATTCAACGCGATTGATAAGATTTTCTCTACGATGAGAACGGAGAAGGGGGCTCCCACCTGTCCCCAAGGGACATACGCAGCGGGATATGCACTCGATTCTTGGGAGGTCTGGCGAATCGTGTGCCTCTCTCAGCTGTCCATCGAGGACGTGGAAGATTTGTGGATGTTCGGCCTGATGATCACTGGATTTCTTCTGATTGGAGTGGGAGGATATCTGGTTTTCTGGAAATTTGGGAAGACGGGAGCGATTGGAGTGCGACCCGTACCCACGGAATGTGCCGCTCGTGCGGTGACCTCACAGCCTGGGACGTTACTCGAGGTGAACCGTAAGCTGGACAATGTCCTCGCGGCGTTGCCTGTGTTAGTGCGCAAGATGGATGTCATCTCGGAGAGGGTCGCCGGACGGTGTGGGGATGTTTAGAACGTATAATTGGCTTCACTGGTGGACATGAATGACCACTTATAGACTCCAAGGCAGAGAGGAAAATTATCTCTGGCTGCCCTAAACAAACTCTTGCTTATCGTTATCTGACGCCAGGGCAGCCTCCAAAGCTGCCTCACTATCACCCCCACGAAAGGAGGAATGTAGGCAGATGCTGTGACCCGTCCTCCCCCCCTGCCTTCAGATGGTGACTTCTGCTTCGAGGTCATCAACCTGCAGGAACTCAATGTGCTCTCTGGCCCTCGTCTCTCCCTCCCACCTGTCTGACTGCAGCTGTGAGCGCCGTACACTGGCAGCTCCCGTTGGAGGATTCAGGACCCCCCCCCCCCCCCCCCTATCGGAGTCTGATGTTTTGTAACTGTGATGTTCGTGCTTCTATGTTGAGGAGTTTTTTGTGTAGTAGAGCTACTCCCTGCTGGGACTAACTCTGGAATGCCTTTTTTACCTTAACCCAATTATCCTCATTAACACCCTTTACATCTAATGAAATGAGCGCCGTTCTGGCTGCTCTCGTGGACTGCCTGTACCTGTTTTGTCTACATGTGTGTGTTTAACCTTGGTCAGGTTGTGTTTGCGGAGTCACGCTCCTATGCTCTGGGTCGCTGGAGCGCTGGCAATAAAGCTTATTCTGATTCTGAGAAGGAAGCTAACCAGCTGTCCAGCAGGCTGTTTCAGGCTAAGGTGATGTTTGTTGGTGCTGCAGACCAAGCAGACGATTACCGAGCTAGTCTACCTCAGCAGTACTCGATGGCTGACCCGAGGGCCAGGTCCGGCCCGCGGGCCCCGAACCCCACGCATGGCGAGAGGTTCTGGTTAGGGCCGCATGCACACACCTTTTCCCCCCTCCTCCCTCGTTCATATGACACATCTATACAAGTTTCAGTATTTAAGGTATTGTTACTCCACATCCTCGAGGACTGACCCCAGTATCCTGAGTAATAATTACACTTGCAGGTGAGTATTTGTGTGTGAACACAAGTTTACAGAAAACATTCTCTTGCACCAGGTGATGAGGTTTTAGTGTGATAACCAGCGGGGCGGACAGGTCTCTTGTAATCATTCTGATGGCTTTTGTCACCAGACGGAAAAACGTGTTGAATTTATTCACTAGTGTGCTGGTTTCACTCATTTCAGACGGTCCCTTTCCAGCAACAGCTGAACACTTCATTATTCCCCAAGTTGCCCTTATATCATGTTTGTTTTTCTAGTTAATTGCTATAATAATCCTTTTATAACAGACTCATTTATTCTCATAGCTTTTGTAAATCCAATAGTGAAAACTCCTGTTTTGACCCATTACCATGAACATGAAGGCAGCAGCAGCTCAGGAGGAAGAGCAGGTTGTCCAGTAATGGTGAGCTTGCAGGTTCAATCCCGGCCCCCGTCCTGCCTGCTGGCAGTGCTTAATGAAAGATAAAGGGGGTATGGGGCGGTCTCTGCACCGTTACGGACTTCCAGTAGTGGGTGCATGGAGATTGTGCATCCTAGAAGAGCACGAGGACTCGCACCTCTAGACGTAGCTTGCTTTTTACTGCGACTGAAGCCGCGACCGTTACGTTTGTTTTTAAAGGCGTCTGCCCCATCAGTCCGTGCAGCCGCTGGTGATTTGGCGGCCGGAGCTCGGCATCAACTCCCCATGTCATCATGGCACTCCCTCTGTTGCGTCACGGTCATCTATGAGACAGACCATTACCAGCGAGCGAGGGGGAACGTCATGCCGGCACAGCGCTGCGGTAATATTACGCAGATGTGCCGGTGCGGCGTGTCTTGTAAAAAGGGACGCATTGGGTCCCTTTGTTAAGGACTTTGGTATGACCCGACCGGGTTTGAACCCGATTCCCAGGGAGGACACCACCACTTGTCCACTGAGAAGGTTATAAAGTCAACTTGACCCTTTCAGACTTTTGATTCCTCGTCTCTAGTTTTGTTCTTCAGTCTTCACTTTAGCTGTGCCGGTGCCGGTTCTGGGCTTTGAGCACCGAGGCGCAGTCCTGGCCCTTCAGGGCTAACCCTAGCCCTTTTATCGGCAGGTGATGAACAGGTCATGCAGGTGTGTTGGAGCAGAGATTCAGTGTTTCCCCAGTTATTAGTCCGTGCTCTGTAGAGGCTCCTGGCCTGGCCGAGTTGGGCCAGCATCTCGACTGCAGCCACTGATTGGCTAGGGGGCGGAGTCACTGGTTGTTCCAGAGTTTTCTGCCTGCAGAACCTAACCATATGCCTTAAAACTGAGCAGGAATTCCAGCAACACCACTGTTGTGTTTCTGCAGCACACACCGGTGACCTTACACGGATCACCTCGCGCTAGTCACGAGCTAGCAGCCGCTACAGGCCGAGTGGTGCCCTGAGGTAACAGGAAGTGAAACCAGAGCTACAACGTGGGCATGGATAGTCCACAGTAGCTTCAGGTAAGTGAAGTGATGACCTACCTTATTGTTGTCGATGAAGCCCAGTCTGTAGCCATGTTCAAAGTCAAACTGGTCATCCTTCATCAAGTCCTTCCTCTGCTCCTCCTCCCCTGCTTCTCTGTTGGGGTAAAGATCCAACCTGGTGGCCACCGGGAGGTTGTCTGCAATCCTGAGATGAGGCCAGACAGAGAGGACCAATGATGGACTAGTGAGGCTTTATTAGAATCAGGAGCAGAGTGATGAGTTTAGAAAGACGGATGCATTTTCGCCTCCTTCAACAGCGGACAGCTCTTTTACTGACATCCGCTGCAGTGAGTACGCCACGCTGTTCGTTGTCCAGTAGCCTACGGAGACCGTTTGAAAGACCACGGTAGAACCCGCCCCACGACGAGAACCATCAACGGAGCGTTGCCTGACTAAATATATGTTTATCCTGGTGAAGCCCGCTAGAGGGCCGGAACATGAACAATCACGACAGAAAAAAGTACAAATTCGGAGATAAGCAGAGTGCGGCCTTGTATTCTGCAGACGTGAAACATCTCCCACGCCTTTAATCACTTTTCTTGAGGGGGGGGGGGGGGGTGACTCACAGGTGAATATAATACTCTTCCTGGATTCGCTCTGCTATCAGTTTGCTCTCCTCCACTCGGAGCTTTTTTCTGTTGCACACAATCTCACACTTCTTGTCTTTGCTCATCTGGACACCATAAAGGGTGTTTACTATACGGTCCCCACGCAACACCTCACCTGTAAACAAACACAAATAAACATACAATTATAGCAAAAGGATTGGTGCACCAACAGCATGTTTAACAGCCAAGAGGTGGTTTTTAAAACTGAAGTTGAGCCGATACCGCTACAGAGCGATACCTGATGTGAACGGTGTTGTAACAACAACAACAACAACAACAAACAAGCTGCTTACCCAGGTTTTCTGCTTTGTACTGAACGGAGTCTGGCTTACAGAAAGGCAGTGAGTAGTACTCGTAAGGTAGCTGTGTACGGGAGCTCGTCAGCTTCACAGCCTGAAACACATCACAGAACACTTTTGACTTGGTTAGCACAAGCTAATCACAGCAATGCTAACATCAGAACAACGCTAGCCCGAGCTACCGCTAATGTCTATCGACTTATCCAGATACATAGTTTCTAGCTTAAGGCTGTCATAGAGCCACTGGGGTAAGTCAGCCAATCAGCATGCAGTTCATTTAATATTCAGGTTGTGGTCAAGTGAGCGGGGCAAAGCAGTCTGTGGTGAGGTTGTGTTTGGCCAACGATTGAGAGAAAAGATGAAAGTCCCATGGTTGTCACACACACTGCTGTAGTGAAACGAGCCATCCCCGTGGGGAACGTGCTCCGTAACCATTCGGTGGTTTAACTGGGCTCCTGGGCCATTGTGAGCCCCAACAAAGTTTCATGTGTTATTTCAATTGTTCAAGCAGTCTTTGGTGTGACTTCATCATCACCACCCTCTCCCTGTTCTACCTATTCTGCCTTTCCCAGAATCCACTGACTTCCCTCTCTCCTATTCATTTTCATTTAACTGAATGCCCCCCCCCCACCCCCCCGGGCTCTGATGGACATTTCAGCTCTCATCCCACTTCCACACAACTTCTTGTTTATGATTGTTGTAGGGAGTGTGGGACTTGGTTGTGTCAGAATTATGTTGAAGTTAGCAAAAAAGCATTTGTATTAATTATAGAGCAGGGGCAGAGGTGTGTGTGTGTGTTGGGGGGGTGGGGGGGGGGGGTGGGTACGGTTAACAGAGTATTAGTTAAGGGCTTTAACAACTAGTTAAAATATTCAGAAAAACTTGCATCCCTAGGAGATGTCAAACCAGTTTGGAAGCCTGCGAGTTCACCTTTCACCTTTCCTTTGTTTGCTACTGAGGAGGTGTTTCTGCTGAAACCCAAACCAGGTGTGTGCGACTACCGTTGCCCCGTTTCCTTTACAAATGCTCCTTAATCCATGCTGCAGCTGCAGGTACACCCGCCACTTCCCTCCTAAGCTGATGGCAGCTTGACATTCATGCAGCGTCATGATTGGCCAACATTGATGTAATAACTGAATCTTACTGTTTCATCAAGACCAGCACTTGCCAGGGTCAGCAGACTGATATTTGGTCAACTTGATTTACCAACAGGAAAATGAAATTATTTTCACTTTTACCTTAATTTCTACTTTATCACCCTCATGAAAGTCCTGAGGAGCAACTCCAGGAACATAGAAGGTCCGAACCCCAGGAAGCAGCAGCAGCAGCAGCAGGGCCCACCTCGTCTCCTGTAGCATACAACACAACATCCAACTCAAACCAGCGTGTGTGTGTGTGTGTGTGTGTGTGTGTGTGTGTGTGTGTGTGTGTGTGACACAAACACGCTTTCCAACACAGTGAACATGCAAAGCTGTGTTTAAGTAAAGTTGCCAGAAGTGAGAAGGACATAAATGAACAGCACGTTTTACACGTCAAAGATGAAGCTGACTACCTGAGATCCTAGGATCTCCATGTCCATGTTCGCATGGAGATCCTTCACATTTAAGGAGGTTTGTCTGGGACAATACCTGGAGCTTATCTGCTGTACCAACTGGTACAATAGCTAAAGGAAAACCTCTTCTGACCCGGAGACTTCTGATGCAGTCTGATATTATCCGACACAGCGCTTTGATATCGGAACGGGACATCCCTACCATGTTGGTGCTATGCTGGAGAAGCATTTGCTCCTCCTCAGACGTCCCATCTACACTAAATGATCTGGCTAGCAGACGAGCCCTGGAGCGTGTTGGGAGAGACGGCAGGCTGCAGGAAGAGAGGAGGGTAGAGTAGAAGGACTTTGGAACGGACACACTGGGACGGATCAGGAGTTCCGGTACCGACACGTTGGGACCGGGTCGGGAGTTCCGGTACCGACACGTTGGGACCGGGTCGGGAGTTCTGGTACCGACACGTTGGGACCGGGTCAGGAGTTCTGGTACCGACACATGCAGCTAGTCTTTTGATTGAATAGTTTTTTATTCAAACTAACAAGAACAGCAGCGGTGTCGCTCTTCTTTTCTATTTCTGAGTTGAATTAGCAGACTCCATGCTTCCAGGGCGCACTGCTGCCCTCTGCTGGTTCTTTCAGGTTACAGTCATAGTCCAAACGCACAAACCAGAGCTCGTATGTCCCTCAACAGCTACTGTATTTCAAGATGGTGGATGACCACGGAGAGTCGACCACAGTTGGGCCCAATCTCAGTACTCACACCGCGCCCTGCGGCCTTCAGCAAAGTGCACTTGGAGAAAGTGCGCAGTAGGGTTCGAGTACGTAGTACACAAGTGTGCAAATAATTGCCAGACTGAGACAGGGAGCACTACGTCAACCATCGCAACGCATGCCATCATGCTGGTCGCTGTGAAATATTTTTCAAAAACCTTTATTAACAACTTTCAAACAACAAAGCAATTATCTGAAATAAATTTAACTTGACTGCTGCTTTGTTTAAAACATTCAGAGCATCAACTCATCGTCCTAAAATGAACTTAATTAGAAAATACATATTTCAGAAAAGGAACTTGAGCCTTATCTCCCGCAGCAATGACTTGTGGGTAATACCCTTGCCCGAGGTCTGCATCGCTGCCGACTTGGGTGAAGTGCAGATTAAGGGTGCAATGGGGGCGTGGTCAACTTCTGCACTTGAGAATCGGGACACTACACACTCGCACCCCTGGCCGGGAACGCGCAAATGAAGGGTGCGAGTGTTGGGATCGGGACTTTATGTATTTAAAAATGTAAACTTTACAGCTGAGAGGAATATTTAGAATTGATGTTGGTGATAAATATTAAATAAAAAGGATACGTTTGTGAACTGGAAACAGGATTTATAGTAAACGGGTAAAATATTACACACTGGAGCTTTAAGCAACGTATCAGGACTTGGTTTTGGCAGATTCTTAAAGTCAAATGACCGACTCGGATCGAGGGTTAGTCATGATTGGAACGTCCCCATAGATAGATAGATAAAAAACAATACTTTATATCAGTGAAAGTTTAAACAATTTAAGAAAACAATAATCAAAACAACAAAATAGTGATTATCTAAGCTTATAAAGTAGAGAAATATTAATTCTTTATCTGCTCAGTTCGTCATCGTGAAGCATGACAGACTCGTTTAGATGAATTTGGGCCTCATGTTTGGACAATGACAGGATGAATTTCATGTTTGGACAATGACAGGATGAATTTCATGTTTGGACAATGACAGGATGAATTTCATGTTTGGACAATGACAGGATGAATTTCATGTTTGGACAATGACAGGATGAATTTCATGTTTGGACAATGACAGGATGAATTTCATGTTCCTCACTGAGCATTGGACTCACTGCTGGAGGGAAAAAGCAACACAAAAGTGTTTACCACCTAAAGATAAACTTCTCTAAACATCAAGAGTAACCAAGACAACTTCGTGCTTTTGACAGAAAATCTAACAGCTGACCAGCTGCGGCGGGTCACTTTCATTCATGTTAGCTGGTTCTGTTCCGGTACCAACTCCAATGTTGCGTTTCTGGTGATTTTAGACGTGGCTGGACTTATCCAAACGTTTTCTGGTGCGGACAGATCAGCTTAACCCAACAGTGGAGGTGTAGCTCCTGCAGTGTTAGTTGTGTGTTCAGATTTCCCCCACACTACGGAAGCAGCTGCGCTCCATCAGGTAAGCCACCTGCTACGATGACTCCTAACCGGGCATAAGTGGAAGTTTATTCGCTACTGTGGGATTATCGTGTTTGATATTCCAGGTAAGGGATAGTTCCTGTAAAAGCCACGACTTGCTGACAGTCCAGCTACCGCGTTAGCTTGCTAACTCAGCTAGCATTACCGCTAACATTGAAACAACAACGAACTCCCGCAAACAGCAGCTGACGTTAAGATGTTAAACACCAGCTGAGTTACGCTAATGTGCCACGGTCACTGCGCTGTCTGGCTAAGATAAAGACAAAGCGTGAGGAATGAGCCGTTTGGAGGAAAATAGTTCGCCTTTCCACTCACCATAGCCGCGGCCGCCATTTTGAATACGTGTCATTAGTGACGCAGCGGAACTAACTAACTTTTTGTGACGTTTAAATCCTCGTTCGTTTATTTTCGGATCGTTTTAAAAATCACGTTTCCTCAAGAGAGGAGCTGACAGATCCTTTATAATAATATAGAAACGCTCTTTTATCTAACGCGTCTGAAGCAGAAGCACGCGAGTTTCACAGGGACACAAATATAATATAATATGGTCAAATTACAGATAATATTAATTAATTAAAAAGATTAAAAACATCATAAAATGGGAAGTGTAAAAATTATGGTTACAAAAACATGACATCCAATCTACAAAGTCAGATTCTAGTCACCAGTCACGTGACTCAGCTGTTTTTCTACTGAATATAAATTAATGAGTGGATGAGGAACATGTGTGGATGACCAAGACCTTCGGTGTTGCGGTTCCTCGTTCTACCACTAGATGCTGTTCATGGTCTGAAGTGTTGTGATGTTTAGGAACATTTCCACATACAGGTACAACATCTCCATGGGCTGTCGCCTTACCGTGGTGGAGGGGTTTGAGTGTCTCAATAATCCTAGGAGCTAAGTTGTCTGAGGCTTTGTGCCTCTGGTAGGGTTACCCATGGCAAACAGGTCCTAGGTGAGGGATCAGACAAAGAGCAGCCCAAAGACCTCTTATGATGAATTATATAGATGGAAACCGTGTTCTTTCGCCCGGATGTGGGTCATCGGGGCCCCCCTCTTGAGCCAGGCCTGGAGGTGGGGCACGTTGGCGAGCGCCTGGTGGCCAGGCTTTCACCCATGGAGCCCAGCCGGGCGAAGAGGAAACGTGGGTCCCCCTTCCCATGGGCTCACCACTCGTGGGAGGGGCCAAAGTGGTCGGGTGCAGTTTGTGATGGGTGGTAGTCGAGGGCGGGGACCTTGGCGGTCTGATCCTCGGCTACAGAAGCTGGCTCTTGGCACATGGAATGCCACCTCTCTGGTGGGGAAGGAGCCTGAGTTGGTGTGTGAGGTTGAGAGGTTCCGACTAGTTATAGTTGGACTCACCTCAATGCATGGCTCTGGCTCTGGAACCAATTTCCTTGAGAGGGGTTGGACTTTCTACCACTCTCGAGTTGCTCCCACTGAGAGGCGCCGTGCAGGGGTGGGCATACTAGTCGCCCCCCATCTTGGTGCTTGTACATTGGGGTTTACCCCGGTGAATGAGAGGGTAGCCTCCCTCCGCCTATGTGTAGGGGGACGGGTTCTGACTGTGGTCTGTGCTTATGCACCAAACTACAGTTCAGACTACCCACCCTTTTTGGAGACCTTGGAAGGGGTGCTGGAAAGCGCTCCTTCCGGTGACTCCCTCATTCTGCTGGGGGACTTTAACGCTCACGTGGGCAACGACAGTGAGACCTGGAGAGGTGTGGTTGGGAGGAACGCCCCCCCCCCCCCCCCCCCCCCCCCCGATCTGAATTCGAGTGGTGTTTTGTTATTGGACTTCTGTGCCAGTCATGGATTGTCCATAATGAACACCATGTTCAGACATAAAGGTGTCCATATGTGCTCTTGGCACCAGGATACCTTAGGCCGCAGCTCGATCATCGACTTTGTTGTTGTTTCGTGACCTGCGGCCGCATGTCTTGGACACTCGGGTGAAGAGAAGGGCGGAGCTGTCAACTGACCACTACCTGGTGGTGAGTTGGCTCAGATGGTGGGGAAGGATGCCGGTCAGACCAGGCAGGCCCAAACATATCGCGAGGGTCTGCTGGGAACGTCTGGCAGAGTCTCCTATCAGAAGGAGCTTCAATTCCCACCTCCGACATAACTTCCAAAATGTTCCGGGGGAGGCGGGGGACATTGAGTCTGAATGGACCCTGTTCCGTGCCTCCATTGTTGAGGCGTCCGACCGGAGCTGTGGTGGTGGATCGTCGGTGCCAGTCGTGGTGGCAACCCCCGAACCTGCTGGTGGACACCGGCAATTAGGGATGCTGTCAAACTGAAGAAAGAGTCCTATCAGGTCTTTTTGGCCGTGTTCAGCGGAACACGACTCGGGTGGTCGCCAAGGCAAAAACCCAGGCATGGAAGGAGTTCGGTGAGTCCATGGAGCAAGACTTTCTTACGGCTTCGAGGAGATTCTGGTCCACCATCCGGCGCCTCAGGGGTGGAAAGCAGTGCTCTACCAACATTATCTATAGTGGGGACGGTGTGCTGCTGACCTCTACTCAGGACGTTGTGGATCGGTGGGCAGAATACTTCGAAGACCTCCTCAATCCCACTGACACGTCTTCCAGTGAGGAAGCAGAGTCTGGGGACTCTGAGTTGGGCACTCAAATCTCTGGTGCTGAGGTCAGGTGGTTAAAAAGCTCCTCTGTGGCAAGGCCCCAGGGGTGGAGGAGATCCGCCCGGAGTTCCTTAAGACTCTGGATGTTGTGGGGCTGTGTTGGCTGACGCAGCTCTGCAATATCGTGTGGACATCGGGGGCAGTCCCACTGGACTGGCAGACCGGGGTGGTGGTCCCCTTATTTAAAAAGGGGGACCTCAGGGTGTGTTCCAACTACAGGGGGATCACACTCCTGAGCCTTCCTGGTAAGGTCTATTCAGGGGTTCTGGAGAGGAGGGTCCGTCAGATTGTTGAACCTCGGATTCAGGAGGAGCAATGTGGTTTTCGTCCTGGCCATGGAACACTGGACCAGATCCATACCCTTGGGGGGATCCTGGAGGGTGCGTGAGAATTTACCCAACCAGTCTACATGTGTTTTGTGGATTTGGAGAATGCGTTTGACCACGTCCCTCGGGGGGGCCCTGTGGGGGGAGTACTCCGGGACAATGGGGTACCAGGCCCTCTGATACGGGCTGTTAGGTCCCTGTATGACCGGTGCTAGAGCTTGGTCCGCATTGCCGGCAGTAAGTCGGGCTCGTTCCCAGTGATAGTTGGACTCCGCCAAGAATACCCTTGTCACCAATTCTCTTCATAACCTTTTTGGACAGGATTTCTAGGCACAGCCAAGGTGTGGAGGGCATCCGTTTTAGTTGCCTGAGGATCAGGTCTCTGCTTTTTGCAGATGATGTGGTCCTTTTGGCTTCATCAGAACATGATCTTCAGCTTTCACTGGAGCGGTTCACAGCCGAGTGTGAAGCAGCTGGGATGGGAATCAGCTCCTCTAAATCTGAGACCATGGTCTTGATTCAGAAAAGGGTAGAATGCCTTCTCCGGGTCAGGGATGAGGTCCTGCCCCAAGTGGAGGAGTTTAAGTATTTTGGGGTCTTGTTCACGAGTGAGGGAAAACTGGAGCGTGAGATCGATAGGTGGATCGGTGCTGCATCTGCAGTGATGCGGACGTTGTACTGGTCTGTCATGGTGAAGAGAGAGCTGAGTCAGAAGGTGAAGCTCTCGATTTACCGGTCGATCTACGTTCCTACCCTCATCTATAAGACCTACAAGCTTTGGGTAGTGACCGAAAGAAAGAGATCGCGGATACAAGCGGCCAAAATGAGTTTTCTCCGAAGAGTGGCTGGGCTGTCCCTTAGAGATAGCGTGAGAAGCTTGGTCATTTGTGAGGGGCTTGGAATAGACCCGCTGCTGCTCCACATCAAGAGGAGCCAGTTGAAGTGGCTCGGGCATCTGGTAAGGATGCCTCCTGGACGCTTCCCTGGTGAGGTTTTTCGGGCACGTCCAACTGGGAGGAGACCTAAAGGTAGACCCAGGACACGGTGGAGGGACTATGTCTCTCACCTGGCCAGGGAACACCTTGGGATTCCCCCGGAGGAGCTGGCCCAACTGGCTGGGGAGAGGGAAGTCTGGGCCTCTTGCCTTAGGCTACTGCCCCTGCGACCCGACTCTGGATGAGCGAATGAAAATGGATGGATGGATGGATGGGTATAACATGATGAATACCACACAGTGTGTACGAGTTCCTACGCACAGATCTCTAAGTATGGCTGGTACACGAGGTCCCTGGACTTTTATTTTAAGCGTACTTCGAAGTAAACTTGTAAGAATTTAAAGTGAGCAAATTTAGTCAGAAGAGGTATACTTGATAGTAAACTGTATACTTGTATCCTTATACTTGCAGAAAAAAATTGTACTTTGGGATATATACGTTTCTATATTTTAGTATAGTTAGTAAAATATACTTGTAAGATTGTTACAGTGAAATAATCACAAATCAGTCTAATGTCTCAGTCATAACCCTAACCCTAACAACCACTCTTCTGGAGACATTTTACCATAGTAAGTGGGGTCAGTGCTCCCTACCGTAGGATGTCATTCTTAATGAACCTGAAAGGGTCACTTACCCCCTGGGTGGAGTCTTATTTCACCCACACTTCCTGTTAGAAAAATGCCCCTAAAGGAGGCGTTGCCTGGTGGACCGACTGACTGATGACACCCCCACCCACCCACCCCGATTCTCAGAGTTTGTCAGTTGGAGCATCAAACCTAGGGATGAGCCGCATACTCTCATTTCAGACGGGTATCTGGTACGGATAAAGCATTTTTGACAAATACGAGCATGAAACGAGTAAAACTCGTAAATATCTGTAATCATGCTGAAGGAAAATCCTCATTGGGTAACTGACTGTCTTCACGCTCTGTGATTGGCCAGTCACATTGAGTGCCCGCCCCTCCCTACACACAAAACTCTGCAGCCGAGAGCTCAGTCCGTCTGACCCATCCACGCACACACACACACACACACACCCACACAGTAACGGGTTTCTCTGTGCTTGCTTCACTGTTGCTCACATTTCTTCAGTGCTCCCTAGGTTTTCCTCAGCTCGCCTCTTTTACGGTTTAATCTTTAAAGTTACTTTATTTGTAACGTACGTGGTGCATTTGACAAAACAGAGCTGCAAACGGCTCGTGCATGCGTCAGTCATTGCCTCTGCTCCGCTCGGGTTCTCTCTCTCTCTCTCTCTCTCTCTCTCTCTCTCTCTCTTCCTCTCTCTCTCTCTCTCTCTCTCTCTCTCTCTCTCTCTCTCGCTCTCGCTCTCTCTCTCTCTCTCTCTCTCTTCCTCTCTCTCTCTCTCTCTCTCTCTCTCTCTCTCTCTCTCTCTCTCTCTCGCTCTCGCTCTCTCTTTCTCTCTTCCTCTCTCTCTCTCTCTCTCTCTCTCTCTTTCTTCCTCTCTCTCTCTCTCTCTCTCTCCTGTATGCATTAATTCATGCACTTAAATATTAATGTTCTGATTTTATTGAAAAACTTGTTCTGTAATAGTTCCTTTACTATTGTGATCAAAAGCATTTAATCTCAGTTCTGAGGCTGCTCTGTAAATAGTTTTCAAACAAACAATACACATAGCAACTTCTGATCAATTTCAGACTTAAAATAATGTATTGATGTAAACCACACCCACTTCCGAGTTAGGTCACGCCCACTCCGAGTACAGATGCAGATACAGGTAATTTAGATGGTTGAACAGATACGGATAGTGGTGTACTCGCTCATCCCTAATCAAACCGTTAACAAGCACACAGACAGCAGGATTCAGTGGGATGAGCAAACTGAGAAGCTGCAGCAGCGTTTTCTCTCCACCTTATCATTTAATAAGCAGCACTAATGCCAACATGACTGCACACGTCTACAGACGGCCAGGTGAGGAGCAGTGTGTGAGGTGTTTGCAAGACACAGGTACAATGTTTTAAGTTTGTTTTTAGCAGATATATTAAACATTGGTAAAATATATTATAATTGTGTATTTCTGTTTTTACAGTAATTCATTGCTACCTGCTGGTTGTTTGGTTGTCTGTTTATTTCTGCTGGTTGTTTGGTTGACTGACTATATATATATACATAGATATATATATATATATATCTATATATCTATATCTATATATATATATATATATAGATATATATCTATATATATATATATAGATATATATATATATACATATAAATAAAAAATATATATATATATAGGTCACCTCCTACATTACCTTTGCTGAACTGCCACTGCTAATTAGTCCAGGGTACATTTCTGCACCGGGCCTGCACGTTTGCAGCACTGTGAGTTGCTGCCTGATTCAACATCAGCGGTGGTGTGCGGTTATGTTCATGGGAACCTGATTGCTGTGATTCTGAGTCGCAGGTGTGTTCTCCTGTGTGGTGGGACAAATTCAGGTCCATGTTAAAGTACCTTGTAATCCTAGCAGGAGGCAGTGTCAGTAATCTTGTAGACCACTGGGAGAATAAAATAGTTAACTTTATGTTGAATCTGCCTGTTTCTTTGGTCATACAACACAAAGATGGAATAACTGCAATGAAATAAAATAAAAACTTTTTAAATAAGAACCGTGCAAAGGCTAATCGATACATAATGACATCCAACATGGGCTGTAGAGAAAAAAGCGCACATTTAGGGAACTTGTAAAACATTTAATCAAACCCTTTTGTTGCTTTTAATGAAGCGTTTCACACAAACCAGACAAGTCCTGTGTGTAAAGCCTATGTACAGTTCTGAGACACAATCCAGTCAATTCTCACGTCATTCTTTAGATTTGTTGTTCCACACTTCTGAACGGATAACGTGTTCATTACGTCATCAAACATTCTGCTTCTCTATAAAGATCATGTGCAACAAATTGTGGCTTTCAACTAAGTGACAGGAGACCCTAGCAGTCCCTCCTCCCTTAAAAACGCCGTTTCTGTTGCAGGTCAGGGTCAAACCTGCAGGAATGCAATAAGTTAAGAAATAAAGATGCTTCACTAAGTGGCGGAGTGTGCACGCACCACGCTGGATCTGTGGTTTCTTCTCATTTGGGTTTGACCGAACAACCAAAAACAAGAGATCGGAACAGTTTAGGCTGATGGGGTCAGAATGAACTCCTCTCGTCTCACAGCAGAGATGAAACTGTGAGTATAAGATGTCTCATCAGCCCAGCCCTGGGACTGGGAGCTCTGGTCGTACCAAAGTCTTTACCATCGGGACCCAGCGCCTCGCTGCCTCTCGCTCAGCTTTACGGTATTGGATTGGGGGTTTCCACTATTTCACCTGTTTGGGTTAAGTTCATAACTCCTCATGTGTTCATTCATAGTTCTGATGCCTTCCGTGAGAATCTCCCCGTGTTCATGCTCATGGAGATAAAGACAACACACTGGATGAGAAGGTGTGTCCAGACCTTTTGGCCTGGACTGTATTTTTAAAGCAGTGATGGATTTTTGTGTGACTTTATGACAAAGAGTGTGATTTCCCTCCAAATCCACTAAACTCTGCAGATTTGCTGCCAAAGCAGAAATGATTGGATTTTACAAAATCTTCTACAAGCTGTGAGAAAAACTGAAATAAACAAAGTCTGTTATTCTGAAGCGCTTTATGGTGTTTGGTCACAAACAACCAAAACACCTTTTATAGAAAACTAATTCACCAACTTATAAAAGCTGCTCTTTTTCTTACTGAGTAATAAATTATAAAGAATAAAACAAAGTTAGCATTTAAAACCAGATTCTCGGGGTTCGGGTCCTTCCGTCTCACCGTCTCTACACGAGCTGCAGTGACTGATGCCGGCCACTAGGCGGCCACACTGCGCTCTACCGTAAACTATGTTCTTTATTTCATTAATCTGAACTTTGACGCAAACCGTGTCCTTTTAGAGAAAATGTACAATAAATGGAGCAAACCAAAAACAGTTTTTCTTCTGTTGCCCGGCGATCTCAGGTCTGCTCTGGAATCTCAGCTTTTTGGTGCACGTTGTTGTTTGGAGCTGTCTGAGAGTCCAGGAGGCCTCGGAGACCTGAAGGAAGCTCCAGAGCTGACGAGAGCATCATTTCTGCTCTTCAAAGGCCTTTTCAGGGCGCACAAAGCTTCAGCTAAAAACGTAAGAAGTAGACAGCCACAGCAAAGTGGCTGTAAAAGAAAAACGGGTTTGACAGGATGTTTGGAAACGTAACAAGAGGTTTTTATGTAAAGCTAATTAGAGCTCCTCCTAGTGGCCGCAAGTGGAAATACACTTTTAATTTAAAGGGGACAAAGGATGTAAACCAACATTTTCTTGTTGTTTGTGAACAAAGACAGCTTGGGTGATCAAGAGTAGCACGCCAAAAAGTCAAAGCCATGTGTGACCTACTTTTAATGTAAGTTAGAGCGTTTATGTGGAGTCCTTCCTCCTCCAATCTGCAGTCCCCAGTGTCTGAGGCCTTCTGGTTAAACCAACCAATCAGCCAGCAGCTCATTAGCATATTCATGTCCCGGCTCAGTGAGTGGGGACGGCTCAGCCTGCATCAGGGCTCATGGGACAGTTTTAGATGCTGATAATCTGCATTCTTTGTCCCTTTTAAACTGAAAGCATTTATTCTGAAAGGAAACCTAAAGTAAGAGTGGACTGCCCCCCCTCCCGTGTTTGTGACCCAACCCTAAACAGCTGTCATGGCTGCTGCTGGTACTGGCTCTCTGTGGCCGTGTAGAAGTCCTCCAGGACGCTCTGCAGGTAATCGAAGGTGGGCCGGTCCTCGGGCTTGTTCTTCCAGCACTCCATCATGATTTCATAGAGTTCTGTGGGACAGCTGTCCAGGCGCTGCATTCGGTAGCCCTTCTCCAGAGACCGGATCACCTCTGGGTTGGTCATCCCTGAAAACCAACAATGACAAACATCTCTGATCTGAAGGATGTTCATTCAGCCTCAGCAGCACCACCACCCTAACCGTCACCCGATGACTCACTGATCCTTGCTCACCTGGATACGGTGTGCGGCCGTAGCTGATGATCTCAGTCAGCAGAATCCCAAAGGACCAGACATCAGACTTTATTGTGAAGGAGCCGTAGTTGATGGCCTCGGGAGCGGTCCATTTGATGGGGAACTTGGCTCCTGGTGATCCAGAAAGACCAATTTGACTCTTTTATTCTACAGGCAGGTTATGATTGTTATGACCAGACGCAGAAAGACACGTCTTAGTTTCATCATGTAAAGTAAAATACAGAAGCTCATAACGCTTCACAGCGTGAGTCCGACTCAGCATGGATGGAGCCAAGCAGCTCTACAGATGTGAACATGTGAACACATCCTCTCAGGTTTGAGTCGTGTGACCGATCTACTGGGCCCCCAGTCCACTCTCAGCCAGCCGTACCTTCCCTGGCCGTGTACTCGTTGTCCTCGATGATGCGAGCGAGCCCAAAGTCGGCTATTTTGCAGACTAAGGCCTTGTTGACCAGGATGTTGGCAGCTCTCAGGTCTCTGTGGATGTAATTCTTCTGCTCTATGTAGGCCATCCCCTCAGCAATCTGGAGACAGACAGACAAACAGCTGTGGTTCCTGCTGCTGGTGAAGCTCCGACCCAGCACAGCTGAACTGGTTCAGAGCTGCAACTGCTACCTTAGGAAACACAACCTTCCTACATTTTCTTTGATAAAAACCTGCAGAAGCAAATGAATCCTCAGAATCAGGATTCTGACTTTTGCCAGAGACGGTTAGGATGGTGGAGCCGCCATGTTGGTCAGGTCAGAATCTCCTTCTCTAACTTTTGTAAATATCTGCTTTAAATGATTTGTTGTCATTTGAAACGGTCTAAAGATAGACTGCTACTTTCAGCAGCATCCTGTCACAGCTACTACACACTTCTTTGGGCTGCATGGTGGCGCAGTGGTTAGCACTGTTTCCTCACAGCACGAAGGTTGCAGGTTCGAAACTCGGCTGCGGCCTTTCTGCGTGGAGTTGCGTGTTCTCCCCATGCATGCGTGGGTTTCCTCCGGGTACTCCGGTTTCCCCCACAGATCACAACATGCCCTATAGGTTATAAACTGTAGGTCGCTTTGGATAAAAGCGTCTGCTAAATAAATAAACATAAATAAACATAAACATCTTTAATGTTAATATATAAAACCTTGACTTATTTTTTATGTTTAGTTATTAAAGGAGCCATTTGATGGAAAATCCACTTTGGGAGCTTTTTACTGTTGTGTTGTCGTTTCTTCATGAGAAAGTGCCCCAAACTCGGGTTTGGCTGCATTCATGAGTCAACAGGACTTGTGAGGGTGATGACATCACTGGTGTGGCTGCCATGTTGGTTGCTCCGCGTTACTTCAGACCACAGCGTGCTTGTGGCTTCATTCAACCTCTTATTCATTTGATGGATTAATACCATGGTACACTGTGCTTGGATGTATAACCGAGTATCCCAGCCTTGATCACACACACACACACACACACACACGCACACACACGCACACACACACACACACACACACACACACACACACACACACACACACACACACACACACGCACACACACACACACACACACACACACACACACACACGCACACACACGCACACACACACACACACACACACACACACACACACACACACACACACACACACACACACACACACACACACACACACACACACACACACACACACACACACACACACGCACACACACACACACACACACACACACACACACACACACACACACACACACACACCTTTTACCATGAGCTCCAGTCTGGGGTTTCTTTTGGATCCAAACAGTTTCTGAGGCTGATTTGGTCCACTAACAGGTCCCTGGCCTCCCCATTTAACAAAAGTATGTTCTGCGTCCTTTCGGTATTTTATCATGTTGTTTATTACTTCCTATACAAATCTGTGTTTCCACATGTTGAGCATGACTCACCACGCAAGTGCCAAAGCAGAAGGCTGAAAGAGCCACCTGTGGCCCCAGAGCCACAGGTTGTTGAGCTAAATGAGTCTCACCTGAGCGGAGAAGTCGATGAGCTTTGGTAGTTGGACGCGGTTCCCTTCATCGCTCTTTAAGAAGTCGAGTAAACTACCTGCAGACACAAAATAGTTCCTCACCAGAAGCACAAGCCTCTGTTGTTTCTTTCAAACCATAAACGAGCTGCACCAATGGCGTCAGAGGACTCCAGTGCTTCACAGCCAATGAGCTGCAGCATAGCCACAGCAGCCCTGGGACACACTGATGGAGGCCAGGCTGCTGCACACACACACACACACACACACACACACACACACACACACACACACACACACACACACACACACACACACACACACACACACACACACACACACACACACACACACACACACACACACACACACACACACACACACACACACACACACACACACACACACACACACACACACACACACACACACTCACACCTTTTTCCATGTACTCAGTGATGATGTAGATGGGCTCCTCCTTGGTGACCACGGCGTTGAGGCGGACCAGCTTGTCGTGCTGCAGACTCTTCATCAGGTTGGCCTCCATCATGAAAGCTTCCACCGACATGCTGCCTGGCTTCATGGTCTTCACCGCCACCTTGGTGTGCTTGTTGTACGTAGCTGAGAAGGAAGGAAACACTCAGTGACACTGACTCCAGGTGTCCACCTGTGTCCACGCGGCGCTCTCTCACCCATCCACACTTCTCCAAACTGGCCGGCGCCGAGCCTCTTCTCCAGTTTGAGGGAAGATCTTGGGATTTCCCAGGCGTCCTTTTCCCATGGCTTCTCTGGCTTGGGGCTCAAACACGGAGAAGTCAGGGACTGGCACAGGCCATCTCCTTGTTCTGAGTTTGACAGAAAAAACTTGATTCAGTTTCAGACCTGAAGGATGAATACAGAGATGTTTTATTTGTAGTTTAGGGGATCTGAACCCCATTACAGTTCTTCTCCATTGTTTACACACAAGTCCTTATATGTCTGTGTGACTGGAGCATCATCTCCCTGAACCAGTCTGTCATGATGTGAGTTGGGGGGAGGTTAGGACCCAAGATACAGACCCAGGATGACAAGGCAGGAGTAGTGAAAACGTAAAAATCCTTTATTTAGGGTCTAATGAGCTTTATTTAGGGGTAAATCCAAAGGGCTGGAAGCCAAAAACCAAAAATCCAAAAATCCACGAATCAAAACCTGGGAACATCCAAAAACACAAGAGACCTAGAGAAATTCCAAAACACCTAGAGAGGAGGCGAGACAACGCTGACACGAACAATGGACCAGCACCACACTGAGACGCAGACAGGGTTATATACACAACACAGGTGAGACCAATAAACAGAGGAGGAGCACAACGCAGCAGGGAGGAATCCAGGCCTAAATATGGGGAAGGGAGCAAAATGAACTAGAGGGAGAAAACAGACTAGATAAAACACTTAGCAGAAGGCTAACGATAAAAGGTGTCTAAGGAAAAACGTAAGGGAAACCTAGAGAGCCTGGAGGGGGTTGGGGAACCACTGGGACGCTGTAACCTGGGGGGACACCTAAGGGGGAAAAACCTGGAGTGGGCTGGAGAACACAAGGAGGCACATGAGGGAGACGCAGGACGCAGACGATGACACAGTCGTGCTAAACTACAAGCACAAGCTCTGATTTCCACTTACATTGCAGTTTTAAAACACACTTTGGTCACAACTTTACACACAGCTCTGTGCATTTGGCACAATTGTCATTAAAACTGTAGTCTGCTGCCCCACTTTACACACCAGCTCATCAAAGGGAAACACTTGTCATACAAAATCAGAGCAGCCATTTCCCACCATGGTGTCATCCATCGTCATGCTACCCTTGGACCCTACAACATCGCCCATCTGATCACAGTCCTGGATGTCCTACAGAACACACTCCTTCCACCAGATCAGATCACCTGACCTGGCCCAGGGCAGCTCAGGTCTGGTGGGAGTTCCCACCGGCTGCTCTGGTCCGTCTCTGGTTCACTGTGTCAGGTTCGATGGGCTGAGCTGGAGTGGTTATGAGACCCAGGCGTGGAGAGAATGGTGGATGGAGACTGATATGTGGCAGCGTGGGAAGTTCTCTTCCCGTATGGTTCGTAGAGTTAGTGCCTTAGGTCTTAGAATGGCTTGGCGTCTATCGTTAGATGATGACTGAGTGCCGGCTCCGCTGTGACAGGTCCTTAAATAGGCTCAGCGGGATGACGTCACCGGGAAGCGTCGGTGACAGGCATGCTGGGAACTGGAGTGCAGCGCCAGCCCAGCCCGCAGAGGAGGTTAAGAGGAGGAGTTCATGACACACTGCCCACCCACCATGTTTAGTTGTTATCTTCCTCCATGTTCTGCATGGAGATGGAGAGCGTATGAGCAAAATCCACAGACATAAACCCTTCTCCAAGCTGTAGTACATGGAGATGTCACTACTGCTGCTGTTCATGGCTAGGTTGGACATGCTGAGCAACATTTCCCTGCTGCTTGGCTAGGAGTTCATGACTGATGAGGCCAGAGAGAAGAGTTGTTGATCTTTTTGTTGATTACATTTGAGTAAACTGTATTTAGCACATTGTTCTGTGTGTCTATGTAGAGACCACTATGTACGTGTGTAGTACAGTGTACCTATGTACGTGTGTAGTACAGTGTACCTATGTACGTGTGTAGTACAGTGTACCTATGCACGTGTGTAGTACAGTGTACCTATGCACGTGTGTAGTACAGTGTACCTATGTACGTGTGTAGTACAGTGTACCTATGTACGTGTGTAGTACAGTGTACCTATGTACGTGTGTAGTACAGTGTACCTATGTACGTGTGTAGTACAGTGTACCTATGCACGTGTGTAGTACAGTGTACCTATGCACGTGTGTAGTACAGTGTACCTATGTACGTGTGTAGTACAGTGTACCTATGTACGTGTGTAGTACAGTGTACCTATGTACGTGTGTAGTACAGTGTACCTATGTACGTGTGTAGTACAGTGTACCTATGTACGTGTGTAGTACAGTGTACCTATGTACGTGTGTAGTACAGTGTACCTATGTACGTGTGTAGTACAGTGTACCTATGTACGTGTGTAGTACAGTGTACCTATGTACGTGTGTAGTACAGTGTACCTATGTACGTGTGTAGTACAGTGTACCTATGTACGTGTGTAGTACAGTGTACCTATGTACGTGTGTAGTACAGTGTACCTATGTACGTGTGTAGTACAGTGTACCTATGTACGTGTGTAGTACAGTGTACCTATGTACGTGTGTAGTACAGTGTACCTATGTACGTGTGTAGTACAGTGTACCTATGTACGTGTGTAGTACAGTGTACCTATGTACGTGTGTAGTACAGTGTACCTATGTACGTGTGTAGTACAGTGTACCTATGTACGTGTGTAGTACAGTGTACCTATGTACGTGTGTAGTACAGTGTACCTATGTGGTAGAAGAAGAAGAAGGAAATATCATTTCTATAGCGCCTCTCAAGATAAAAATCACGAGGCGCTTCACAAAAACACGAAATGTAAAAATATAAAAAAGCATTTAGAAAATGTTTGAAAATATATTTAAAATAAGCAAAAATAGACAATTGTGATTAAAAAATGATAAGAAAGAGAGAGAGTGAACAGGAAAGAGGGAAACCAGTGGATCCTGAGGAAGGTGGAATAGGTGGGGAGAGCAGAATAAAGAGAGAGAGGTGAAGAAGGTCATACAAAAGCCAGCTTGAACAAGTGAGTCTTCAGCTGCTTTTTAAAGGAGACCACTGAGTCCACTGATCTCAGGCTCAGGGGGAGAGAGGTCCAGAGTCTGGGGGCCACAGCAGCAGATGATCTGTCACCTTTGACCTTTAGCCTGGTGCTGCACAACCAGTAGGCTTTGATCACTGGACCTCAGGGACCTGCTGGGGGTGTAGGGACTAAGAAGATCACCAATGTAAGATGGTGCTTGTCCATGTAAGGCCCTATAGACCAGAACCAGGATCTTGAAATGAACCCTGAAGTTGACTGGCAGCCAGTGAAGCTGGAGGAGAAGCGGGGTGATGTGGGTGTGTTTGGAGGACTTGGTCAGAAGCCGAGCACAGGCATTCTGAACCACCTGTAGACGGTTCAGGGAGGTTCTGCTCAGACACGTGAAAAGAGAGTTACAGTAGTCTAAGCGTGAGGAGATGAAGGTGTGGAGAACTGTCTCAAGTTCAGAGCGGGACAGAATGGGACTCAGCTTAGCAACGTTCCTGAGATGGAAGAAGGAAGAGCCAACAAGAGAACTGACATGAGAATCCAGGGTGAGAGCTGGGTCAAAGGTCACGCCAAGATTCCTGACAGAGGGTTTGGTGAGAAGCAAGCTGACCAAGAGAGTCTCTGACTTTGGGAACCAGCTTGTCTGGGGCACAGATGAGGATCTCAGTCTTATCTTCATTCAGCTGAAGAAAGCTCCCACCATCCAGGTTTTGATAGAGTCTAAGCAGGTGTGTAACAGCTGCAGCGTAGACATCTCATGGGGCTTAAAGGAGATGTACAGTTGGATGTCATCTGCATAAAGATGGTAGGAGATTCCTTTGAAGGAGCTCAGGATGTGCTGAAGAGGAAGCAGGTAGAGGAGGAAGAGTAGAGGCCCCAGCACAGAACCTTGTGGGACACCATGGGTAAGAGAGGTGGTGGAGGACCTAAACTTGGAGACGGCCACAGAAAAGGAGCGCTCAGAAAAATTAGAGGAGAACCACTCCAGAGCAGATCCTGATAGGCCTACCCAGTCTCTCAACCTCTCCAGTAGCAGGTGATGGTCAACAGTGTCAAAGGCTGCAGTCAGGTCCAGCAGGACCAGAACAGAACAGTCCCCTGCATCACTGTGAGTCAGAAGGTCATTAGAGACCCTGAGAAGAGCTGTTTCAGTAGAATGAGCTCTACGAAAACCTGACTGGAAGCTATCATAGATGTTATGTTCATCAAGAGCAGCTGTGAGTTGTTTAGCCACAACCTTTTCCAAGATCTTGGAGATGAACGGAGGTTTAGAGATGCTTCTGAAGCTGCTATGGAGAGAGGGGTCGAGACTCGGTTTTTTAAGAAGCGGGTGGATTACAGCGTTCTTAAAGTAAGCAGGGACCTGACCAGAGACCAGAGAAGCATTAATTATAGAGAGCACGCTGGGACCGATGGACTGAAAAGCACTTTTAAACAAAGATGAGGGTAAGATGTGGAGGGGGCATGCAGAGGTCTTCATAGAGTTAACTAGTTTGGTTAACTCAGGCAAAGAAACAGGAGCAAAGCTATCTAGGATGATGGGCCTGGTTGGAGTCGGGAGAGGCAGCGATAAGGCTGAAGGAGAGATGCTAGATCTAACCTTATTGACTTTGTCCACAAAGAAAGACAGAAAGTTCTCACAGTCTGCAACAGAGTGGATGGAGGCTGTAGGAGAGGCAGGAGAGACGATGCTGCTGATGGTGTTAAACAGCACCTTGGGGTTCCCTTTGCTCTGGGACACCAGGTTGGAGAAATAGGGAACCCTAGTGACTCTGACAGAAGATCCTTTAGGTGCAGCAGATGGACGTGGAGATGGGTTTTCTTCCACAAACGCTCAATTTTTCTGCATTGGCGCTTCAGGCTGCGAAGGCTGTCATTAAACCAGGGAGTAGGGTTCACTGCAGGAACTGATCTGTACCTACGCATGTGTGTAGTACAGTAAGGGTAACACTGAACACAAGAAGGCTCATGATGACTGGAGAGGAACTGGTTGTAACGTTTTACATGAAACACATGAATCCGTGTTTAACTGCTCCTACAGACGTCTACTCGTGATGTTTGGGAGTCGTCTGGAAACAAAACATCCTTTTGAGAAGAAATTACGTGGTTTTGATTTTGCAGGAGAACTGAAGGGTTTGGCCGTGTGTGTGTGTGTGTGTGTGTGTGTGTGTGTGTGTGTGTGTGTGCGTGTGTTGGTGTGTGTGTGTGTGTGTGTGTGTGTGTGTGCGTGCGTGTGTGTGTGTGCGTGCGTGTGTGTGTGTGTGTGTGTGCGTGCGTGTGTGTGTGCATGTGTTGGTGTGTGTGTGTGTGTACGTTTGGGGCACGTTTTCAGAAAACATGTGTAAACAATTGGGAAAAAGTGTAAGGTTGATTATCATCACTGGCCAGCAGAGGGTGCTGTACATCACTATACTGATTATGGAGTACTACTTGGAGACAAATACCTCCTTCAAATGGCTCATATGCTCACTTAAATGAGTACTTTGTTTAAAGGAACATAAGGGATACGGCGCTGCCACATGAAGCACTCAGACAGCTGAGACTCACTCTTGTAATGGCTGACCAGCTCCTGCAGGGTGTTGAAGGTGATGCGAGGAGAGATGTAGAAGCCTCCGTTGTCCAGCGTTCGGATTTTATAATGTTTAACTGTGTCTCCAGACTGAGGGTCCAGGTCTCTGACGGACAGGGAGTAGCTCCCTGTGGACAAACACAAACAGCATTTCATCCACCAGGAACACTTCCAGACACTAGCTCACCTTTTCCAGGTGAGGACGATGTTGTTCCTTCTCAGAACATTATTTAAATATCCCTAGACCCACCCGATGGATTTACATGAAACCTGCAGAATATCATCCCCAGCTGATTTATTAGAAATGAGCACAACCAGCATTTAAAAGACTCTTGTTGAGCCACTGGACAGTGTAATGAATCCTTCACAAAGTAATTGTTCAGTTACAAAAGTAATCTTCAGCAGATTAACTCGTTCACTGCCATTGACGACTAAAGTCGTCATTTGCATTTTTTTTACTGTTTGAGCATCGGAACGAGCCCCCGCACTGAGAGAACAAACATCTCAGCCCTGAAGCCGATCTTCATCCGCATACGTCACAGATCACATGATCAGGAAGCAGACCATCCATGTGTTAGGAGATCGTTTTGGGCCGTTCCTGTAAAAAAAAGTGAGGCGCGAACCGGAAAAGCGTCTGCCGATCACAATTCAACAACGGATTCTGAAAGAATGGATAACGCTCGAAACACGCGGATTCTTCCTGATGTAAGAGGTGAGTCTCCGCTTTGTTTTGGTTGTTTTGGCATCGACATCATGCTAGCGCGCAACGTTCTGTGACTCTTAAAAAAACTGTAAAAACGGTGAGAAACGCTGGCAGAGAAGGCCGTTAGCGACCAGGAAACTGCTGGCAGTGAATGAGTTAACGTGAATGGCTGCCAGAGCTAACCAACATTAGCATGAACAATGGAGCTTAAACATTGGTACGTTCCTCAAACCTCTACTCCAGTATTCTGGCCCCTAGTGGGGGATTTAAGTACTGCAGGAGACACGGACACGTATATGTGGTTATTACTGTTTGAGTACTTATGTAGTTTTTATTGACATTGTCCTTTAACAGATGAATCTCTTGTAAGGATAAAAAAGAAGGGTTTCCTGTCTGGGTGACAAATACTGAGCTAGTGTGTGACGTGCTACCAGATGCTAGCACCGGCATGTAAGATAATCCTGGTTTATCGAGAGGCGGCGATGCTTAAAGGGCCATCAGAGACAATGAAACAATGGGCTCAGTTCATTGGCCAGCCCAGTTCTCTAACTGTTCTCTCACCCATGGTGGTCTCGCTGTCTCGGATCATGAAGGATCCCACTCGGTTCCCGGGGGCCAGCAGCTGCCTCTCGGCGTCTTTCCTGCTCACGCCTTTGAAGAACCAGCTGAACAGGAAACAGATGAGTTAGAACGGAAACCTCTTCAGTGCTCTTGTCCTTGTTTCATGGTGATCACAGCTAGAGCACGGCGGCGTGGACACTCACTCCTCGGCCTCCATAGTGTCTTTAGCTACGTAATTACTGGGGATGAAGCCTTCTTTGTTGGTGCTGATGGACATGGCCTTCCACCATTCACCTGACCTGAAGTAGAAACACAAACGAGTTAAAAGCACAGAACAAACCGGGCTGCCTAACGAGCTGTCCTCTGCTGGGGAGATGATGGTAGTTTCAGGTGGATGTGGATGTGACAGGTCCGTGTCAACAGCCACTCCCACACGGGCCGGGTCTAGTCCGATGGTCTCCTCTCCTCGTTTCCAGATCTCCACTCTCATCCATCCTCTGTAGCGGTCCTTTTCTTTTCCTATTGCCTGACTCCATGGAAGGTTTTTTCTGTAGCAGACGGACACTTTGAAGGTGTCCTTGAAGGTGGCGAGGTTTGTCCTCGTTTCACCGATTAGCTTCTCCTGCAGGACATGGACAGGATCTGACAAACGCACGTCTGCTCTGGGCTGATGTCTCCATTTTCTGTGTGGTGTGATGGTGTCGTTGAGGGTTCTGTTCATTCTGTGGTTCCTGTGGTGATGAGATGCTGGGTGCTGTCCAGAACCTGGGACCACCTCCCGAGTGGTGCCCGTGGACAGCCCCTCCCACATAACACATGCCTGAAACATGCCACATCATCTCCCAACAGATGAGAGCTGGTGAAGGAGACTTCAGGGAAGAAAGTGAAACTGGAAAGGTGTCGTTCTGGTTAGGAGGAAGATCTTCTCACGCTGGTCCGCGAGCTTCTTAATCCCTCTCACATCCTGCATTTCAGCAACTTCTTTTCAGAACCTTCTAGGAGGAGCCGTTTATGGGCTCTGTCGCGTTACAAGCTGCTGGTGGCCACGCCCACCCACCCTCTGATTGGCTGCTAACTCTGACAGGCTGCTGGGAAGCCCGTTTGCTCGTTCACCAGCTTTCTCAGGTTCGCCCTACTGACGTGGACTACTCACTCCTCCAAGATTCTGAGTTTGTCTCCTTTCTTGAATCCAAGGTCTCCATCATGAATCGCCTCATAGTCGTAGAGCGCAATGGCGATGTCACCTACGTGAAATGAAAAAGAAAAACATCACTTTAAAGAAAACACAGAAGAAATCAGCTGTGGAAGTCGTACGGAAGACTGAAACTGCTGAAAAGAAGAATAAAAATCTTTTTCTTTTTGTTTGACGTTTGCTGGCTGTGTGTGTTCTTCTGGTTTCATCATCAGAAGGTTTAGTTGGGACAACCTTCTCCTCTCCTCCAAGAAGCTTCTCCAGTCCGAGACTTGGGTCGGTGGTCGGAGGCTTATGAGGCGTGGCCTGCTGATAGGGCGATGGGAGTCCCTGGTGAGGTCATTGTTATTACTGATAAGGACATCAAGGTCACATGGGTCCCTGGCCCCTCCCTCTATTCAGCTCCCTGTTTGTGTCGCTGGTGCTGAAGATCCCAACACGGGGTGGGCAGTCCTGATACGTGAGGGCCGCTATCAGCAGGTTTTAGTTGCTTCTCTGCTCAAACACACCTGGTTTGAATGTGCTGGTGATTAACAGGTTGCTGCAGAGCCTGATGAGCTGCTGAACAGGTGATTCATCCAGGACTCAGGTCTGTTGGAGCAGGGAAACAGTTAAAACCTGCTGGCCTACTCCTGTCCTAATGAGTTCGAGCAATGCCCGCCTGCACTGTTTTGGTCACATGTCTCGTCTACCTGGGGAGACAAGTCAAGGCTGCCCTGTAGGTGTGGACACGTCTCACATAGATTCTTCTTCTCAAACATCTGTAGCTTCACAAAGGGACCGCTGGTGCTGCAGGCCAGGACTGCAGACCATCTACACCTCAAGGACGAAGGGTTAGGTTTCCTCTCTCCAACACCTCCACTCGTCCCGCAGGCATGAAAAGAGTCACGTTCCCGATATCAGATGACCTTCATGTTGATTCTGGGAACTTCTTTGTTGATTTAGTTGGGTTCCGTATCAGCTGACTTCCTGCTATGTTTGAAAGTTAATGCAGTCACGCCGGCCTTGTGGTGGGGAGTGAGACAGTTTATCGTTCTCCACGCAGACGCACCTTCCTCTTTTCACCTTAACGTTTCTCTCTACATCCTAAAAGCACCAGCCTGCATGTGTGTTCATAAAAATCCTCTCAGCTGTTCAGGCTAAGTGAAGGAAATCCATCGGTTCGACTGAGATGCAGGACTTGACCCACCTTCTGAAGCTGCTGCATTAGACGTTGTTTTGGCCTGAAGAGAAAAGAAAATCTCATTTTTATGTGCAAATGAACACATTTCAAGCAGAAACATCATGTAGATAATTGCCATACATTTCCATCAAACCACTTCTGGTCTTAAATCCTCCCAATGGGGCATCAGGATTAGTACCTTCACCAGACCGATACATGTCAGGTGGAGGATCCACAGAGGACTAGTTTGTTTGTTGTCATAAAATTACATGTCTGTCTGTTTATAAAAATATATTTTACAAAACCACCAGATTAATTTAATCCCAACCCTAACCCTACCCCAACAACTGTTGAACCCAAACAAAGATGGCCGACGCAGCCTACCTGTGGTTTGAAGTAGTCCAAATGAGACAATGAGTTGTTCAGAGATGGCAAACATCTACCGTAATAAGTGTAATAAGTGCTCCCCACTTTAAAACCATCAGAAATGACACAACAAACAGCTGATTAAAGCTGTTTCTCCTTTAAAGGAATCTCCCACCATCTCTACGTAGATGACATCCAACTGTACGTCTCCTCTAAGCCCCATGAGATGTCTAAGCTGCAGCGGTTACACGCCTGCCTGGACTCCATTAAAAAGCCTACTGGTTGTGCAGCGCCAGGCTAAAGACCAAAGGTGATCTCCTCAGTCCCCACACCTCCAGCAGGTCCCTGAAGTCCAGTGACCAAAGCCTACTGGTTGTGCAGCAGGCTAAAGGTGAAAGGTGACAGATCATCTGCTGCTGTGGGTTAGGTTAGTATCTGTATAAAAGATTGTTTCTTCTATCTCACCACCTGCAGCTTCAGCCCTCACCAGCTTCAGTCAGTCACAACCACCACATCTCCTGTGTTTCAGGTGACCCTGACCCTGACCCCTGACCCTGACAGGAAGGACCGTTAGTGTCAGTCAGTGTTTTGGGTTTTGTGATAAACTTCCAAACGGCAGAAGCTGGGGACACGTACGTATTCTTTGTGAGTGGATGGTTCAAAGGCTCAGCTTTGATTGATTGATTGATTGATTGATTGATTGGGTGCAACAGAAACAGATCTCAAGGGGAACACACATCAACGTAACACCGGAGCCAGTTCTGCCTCTGTCACTTCCTGTTTCTTCATGGCGGGTTAGAGATGTTACAGTCAACACACAGGAAGCTGTGGCCGGAGGACCCGCAGCAGCCTGGCTTCTTTAAAGCATTGCAGATCAATGTCTAGCCAGGATGCAAACTCACCAATCATGGGACAAGCTGAGGCCCGCTGCACGCCGCCTTCCTCTGCAGGAGAGCTGCTTCGTATCACCTCTCGCTGCAGCTGCTGAAACTGCTCTTTGCTTGTTTCTGCTTTTTTTTGTTGTTGTTTTACAGTTTCTGTATTCAGAGAAAATCCTCTTCCTCATTTTCTAAAATAAACTTCTACGGCTGCTCGTGCACTTTTCATTTCTTTGAGTAGATGACCTTTGGAGGTCGAGCAGCAAACTTTAACCTGAAGAACATAAATGTGTGCTTCTTTCCTCTTAAAGTGTAAAGATTCAGTGGAAACCCGACGTTATCCACAGCACCTAACACCGAACCAATCATTAACGTTGGAATGAACGAGACGTTTAAAGTAGGTCAGTGTGGATCGGTGCATTTGTCCAGATGAACTCACAGCTTTGGGTCCGGAGGTGGGGTCTTTGACGTAGTGGGCCGTCTGCGCTCTCTCGCTGTTTCCTGTCCCTTTGCTGAGAGCTTCCTGCTCCTTGGAGCCCACGCAGCCCATGGTGGCGTCTACAGGAATGCAGAAACAGCAGGAAGTAAACCCTCTCACCTGGGATTTGGTTTGCTGTGCTTTTTAACGTTTCAGCAGTAAGCTGGTACGTTTTTGTGGCTAAGAGAAGCTGTTTGTAAAGCATTCGTGGTGGTTGTTGTTAAATCTGAGGAGTCACGTGTTTCTAGTTCTGATTCAGGCGTCTCCATCCCAGAGCTCACACGGACTTTTAGTAACTTAGGAGTACAGATGAACCTCCTCCTGTCTTTGCACGTTAAAGTGTTTTTATCGGGGATTTTGCTCGTAAACTTTCCTGAAAGTGTATGCCGCGTATTGATAAACGGCCATATTGTGTGTTCTTACAGCGAGTCGAACATTCGCACAAAGATGGAACAAGATGTCAAAGAGCCTCCCATTAATAACCTGTTGATGATAAGTAGGACTGTATAAAGTACTTATTACAAAATACCACAGCGCCAAAAGCTGACGTCCTCTTTAGGGGAGAGCTGCTCTCAGAAGAAGATGCTGACAGAACTAGGACCTCTAGTGGTGAATTTGCAGATTGCAAGCAACTCAAAACCCTCTGAGCCCTTCTCCACCCACCATTTTTGTTAATTAATCCTCCAGATCCCAAACAGAAGACCTTTATTAGGAATAGTCCTTTTTCAGGTTTCTTCAGGTATCTTCTGCTCGAACGTGCTTTTGAACATGATGTTGACACAAGCATGAGCCCTGACCAACCAGCTCTTCTGTAAACTCGTTCTGTGTGTTGATTCCTGATTATCTTCTGCTTTCTTAACACGGTGAAGTAATTAGATGCTTCTTTACCTTCGGCTGACGTACTTCGGCCGGAACCTCAGGGCGGCTCTGACAAAGGCAGAAGCTTCAGCCGAAGGTAAAGAAACATCTAATTACTTCACCGTGTTAATTCTTCTTCCGGCTCTTGGAGAGTACCGACGCTTTTTTCCTCCTCTCCTCTCTAACTTACCCTCAAGGCTCTTTGTCTGTCTCTGGGTGAACGTCTGCTTCTGCATTTTTCTGGAAACGGAAATTACTAAAATGGACCTGGTCTGTTGGTTACTTAACATGATTGATAAAATGTTTTCAGCGATGAGAATGGGGGAAGGGGCTCCCGAGTACCCCTCTGGGACAGATCCAGCTGGTCATATCATGGACTCCTGGAAACAGTGGAACCTGATTTGCTTATCTCAGCTGTCTGTGGAGGATTCTGAAGACGTCTGGATATCCGTGGTGTTGGTGTCAGGTTTCCTGCTCTTTGGCCTTGGAGGTTACCCGGCTTACCGGAAAATTAACGAGCTGTCGAGGAATATTGGCTCGCTCCCAGAGCTCAGGGATGGATTGCACCACGCTGTGAATTCACTGACTCATATAATTGTTGAGATGAGTCGTGAGCTTTGGCTGAGATTCATGTGTTGGCACAAAAGATGGATGCCATCAAGGAGCGAGTGGAGGGAGAAGCACGGATTGGGATAGATTAATTACGCCATTATTGGATCTAGAGAGGTTGAGGACCAACAGAACTTTTAGACAGAGAGGAAATTATCTCTGTCTAGTCCCAAAACAATTTCTTATCTGAATCTGGTGCCCTTGAGCCTGTGAGGCTGAAACGAATACCCCCCCCCCCCCCCCGAAGAAATGTGGAACGCTGCCGTCGCCATGGCAACTCTGTCTCCCTATCCCAGCCTGGGCGGGACTGCGGGCTGCGAAGGCTGCTGAATCGTTCCAGGAGTCACTGTGCCCTCTAAACCTCAACGACCTCCTTCCCCTGTCCAGACTGAGGTGATGAGCGCTGCTTATCATGGCTGCAGGAACTGACGTGTGGAGAGTCCCAACCCACCACCCCACCTAGTGGACACTTGTGTTGTGTAATGTCTGAAGTTTGTAGCATTTCTGTCTGAGGAGTGTTTTGCAGAGCAAAGCTGCCCTCCCTGTGGAGGGTAACTCTGAAGTGCCTTTTTTTCCTCCACCCGACCCCATCCT